TGAACCCGTGCTGGTTTCCCCTTAGCATACTTTTTCCTGCTGGGCTCTCACATATATGAGCCTTAATAATCTTTTCAAAGACTTTGCCAAGGATGGAGGTGAGACTGACTGGCCTATAGTTGCCTGGATCCTCCTCCATCCCCTTCTTGAAAATAGGGACCACATTGGCCCTTTTCCAGTCCTCCAGGACCTGTCCCATGTGCCACAAGTGCTCAAATATTCTTGCCAGTGGCTGTGCAGTGATATTGGCCAGTGCCTTCAGTACCCTCAGATGGAGCTCATCCGGGCCTGCAGACTTAAACACATCCAGTCCTTCCAAGTGACTCTGCGACATCTCAGGGTCAACACTTGGTAGTCTGGCACCCTGCTGTTGCCTCTCTACAATCCCATTGTGAGACTTGTCTTGCCACTCGTTTAGGAAGACTGAGGCAAAGAACTCATTGAGGAGTTCAGCCTTGTCCCCCCTGTCTGTCACCATTTGCTTTTGCCCATTCAGTACTGGTCCTATTCCACCCTGGGCCTTCCTTTTACTCCCTATGTATCTGAAAAACAATTTTTTGTTATCCTTAACTTGGGATGCCATCCTCAGCTCCATGGTAGCTTTGGCCTTTCTAACTGCCTCCCTACAACTGTGAGCTGAGGCGGCATACTTCTCTTTAGTAATCTCTCCCTGTTTACTTGAATATGTAAAAGAGTTACTCCTTTGCTCCCAGGTTGCTGCTCATTTCCCTTCCCACTTTGGACCAAACATGTTCATGTAACCCGTAGATTCTCTAAAGGGAAAGTTTCCAAAGTAGACATTCTTCATAAACTTCTGATCTCCTTGTATTTACGTTTAGTAACGGGCAACCTGATGCTTCTTCTTTCCCACTCTCAGGAGAAGAATTATTGTAGTGTCAAATTAACCCATTGTAAAATTTTGGTGAGAGTTTCCAAAGTGCCCAAAGTAACTGACTGTCCAAGTCCCACTGACTTCCAAAAGTTGCCTAATTCTTAAGAGCTTTTGAAAATTTCCTATAGTCTAATTTTAAATGGACTGTTTTTTTCCAAAGATTTGAAAAATATCCCAGCACTTAAGCAGTGTGTAGATATATTACAAGATGTAATGTAAATCGTTATTACTAAGGTCAAAAATTTCTGTAGTGCTATAGCCAAGGATGAGAGGATTTGCAACTCATTAGAAAGAAAGCACTATTCAAACTTTCTGTTGCTGCTCGGTGTAGGTAGCGGTCATGTAAGAAGAGTGTGAAATATTCAGCAGGTTCTATAGGCAGTCTCATTTTCTATTTTCAACCTGTGCATCTAACTTTCTTACATTTAGACAAATGGATGTGGTGCCTTATGGGAACTAAAAGAAAATTAACCTCATTAGTTCTTGGTAAATTTCTGTTTGAATTATAATTGAGGTTCACAAATAAATCTGTTGATTATAGCTAGGGGTGACGCGTAGTGGGCGCACGTGCACCCCCTACAAAAAGGCACCGCCGACACTGTTGGCGGCACCTACAGGTAGTTGCCACTTGCCACCCCGCCGCCGCCGTCTGTGGTTGGTCCGTTATTGCCACTACCGACACTGCCAGTGGCACCTGCAGGTGGTCACCAACCCCTGGTCGGCACTCGCCACCCTCCCCCCCCACCAACAGCACCGGTGGCATCTGCGGGAGCTCTGCACTTACCACCACCCCACTCCTGCCATCGCCAGTGCAGCCGGGCCCACCCAACCGCCAGGGGCATGCGTCGTTCATGATTGTGGCTGCATCTTACAGATAAAACCTGGATTTCAGTGAAATCAATGACTAAATCCATATCACCTTAACTAAGGTCAGGATTTCACTGTACATTTCAAATGCCTTGGCCTTTTGAAATTACCTTGTAGAGCATGGTAAGATTTGAGATGTTTATGAGAGAAGATGGCACTAATCAGTGAAACTTATCGCACCTATATTTTAGTTACTATGAAAGAGAGGCTACAGGTTTTGAAATTTGTGCTCAAATCCAGTTTTATTCAGGCTACCTGGAAGGAATTCAGCAACTGTAAAGAGTTCTCTGAAAACTGGCAGTCGGCCACGTTAAACATAATTAGTCCTGTTAAAAACCCAGACCTTTGCCCAAATCAGTTCACTTTTCAAACTCCATTGTCCCTGAAGCATATAATTGCTCCTATTTAAAAAGAAATCTGACAAATGCAATTGTAAAAAATAAAAAAAAATGCACACAACTATCAAAATATTCTAGAGTGTTCGACCCTAAAAGGTTTAATAAAATAAAACCCTGCTTCTAACAGCACTGAGTACACTATCAATGGATACAAGTGTATAGTGACTGGAAGGTGTAAGTTTACATCATTACTAATTACATTGAGAGCATAGTACAGGTAGGCCTATTAGGTACAGTCAAAAGGCATTTCAAAACCCTATTACTGATATTCCAGTACAGTATCAAAAAAGTAGAATTTTAAGGAGGCTTGAATAAACTATTCAATTCTGACTTTTCAATAGTCTAAGAAAAGGCCTCTGACCTCTGAAGTAGTTTATAGCACTAGACAGCTTCATGTCCCATAATCATCATTCATCCAAGATAACTACACGTTGTCTAGAAGCTGCCCTCTGTTCTATGTACATATTATTCAAATATAGCTGGCTATGGGCATCAGCTATACAATTCTTCTGTCTTTGACTGAACATTCAGCAGGTCTTGCACAAACGCTTCCTGGCACTTCTCAGTTGTTCTCTTGAGACACTGCTGTTGCCTAAAAGAAAGAGGAGAAATTCATTTTTTTTAAAACAGACTTCACAGTAAACTCTTACTCTACCTCTGCTTAAGGCCCTTATGTTGTCCCCATTAAGATACAGCCCCTCAGTCTCTAATGTATTTCTCTTCACAAAATTCTTTGCATGGTAGGAAAGTATTCTCATTTTACAAGTAGGGAACAGAGAGACTAAGTCCCCATTGTTTAGATGTCTAACTCACACTGAAATCAAAGAAAATATGGGCACAAGAGACTTCCTGTGCAACTCTGGGCAAATCCTTGGCAGGACAGGAAACTGGTCTCCAGTTTTCCAAAGTCCCAGGCCAGAGCCCTATGGCACCTCTCCTTTCATACATATTGAGCTGAGTTTGATTCTGTCAGCAAAACTGGTAGCTCAATTTGCTAATAGGGAAGGAGAGGAGTCATTTAAATATATTGCATAGGAACTCCTAGAAGCAAAACCTTGCGTCACATATCATATCTCAGAAGGATCTGATCAAATTAATTCTATTTTTCTTTGTGTGCAAGTTTTCCATAACATCATGTCAGAGTGGTGCTCACATGGTGCCACCTATATCCATATAGCATACTTTAGCTAAGCACATAAGAGACTTTTCTGAACCAAGTCATTGGTAAGTTAACAATAGACATGGTAATCCTGTTGTTCAATATTAGGTAAGTAAAACTGGGCACATGTACAATGCCTGCATAAGCAGTCAGTTAGTTAAAATAAATTTCTACCACGATCAGATGCCAGGTTCCTCAACTAAACCATAAACATATATTTAATGAAAGTGTATTTTTAAATAAAAAAGGGGCACACCAAAAGTTTACTAGCACATATTAGCACAGATTTAGTTTCTCTTAAAAGAAAATCGAAAAGAAAGTATATAGTTTTCATATTTAGTATGCTATATAGCCTTTCCTCCCTGTATTCTTTTGAGATGTGGTAAACAGCAGAAGGCAGCTTCAGTTCCAATGAGCTTTCCAGAAACCATCACTGAAACCACATTTTTTTTTTTTTTTTTTTTACCATTTGGACA